TATATATATATATATATATATATATATATATATATATATAAAATCATAAAAGAGAATCTTACGTCCGCTTACGTGGCACCATCATAATCAAGAATTCCCCTTTAAATCATATGTATATGCGCCATCATAATCCAGGATTCCCCTTTAAATTTATCTATTACCAAAACTAGTCTTCACATTTCATGAGGAGTTATAACTTATATGAAAAGTTGCTACTTCACGAAGAGTTATGACTTATGTGAAAAGTTGTGATTTTGTTAAAAGTTGCGGCCTTTAGGAAGATTTACGACTTTTATGAAAAATTGTGACTTTTATGTAAAGTTGTGACCTTTTCGAAGGGTTTGTAACTTTTTCAAAGAATTTGGACCTATTGTTTAATATAAATAGAGGGATTTTCTGCCACTATTTTTTGTAGGTCTTTTTTCGTTATAAGGTAGTCAAATTCAAATACATTGATTATGTTTCTTATGAAGTTTATTTCATTCCTTACAGTTTTCTTTCTCTTATTTCATTCTTTCGAATAAGTCATAATTATTCATGTAATTATGGCAATTTCTTTTTACTATTTTAGTAACCTTTTTTGAACTCTGTTAAAAATTTTAGCAACGATGATTAAAATCGATTATCTCTTTCCTTCCTTCCTGCAGGTTTCTTCATGTAAACAAAGAAAATGATTTTAATCGCAATGTGACATTACTAATCTTGAACCTCTCCATCCACAACTCAAAAAAATGTTGAAATGATTCAATTAATTATATTTGGATCTTTAATAACAAAACATTTATTTCTGTCACTATTATTGGTTGTTGTTTTTTTTTTTGCTTCGAGGAGTTGAATTTAAATACATCAATTAAGTTTCTTATGAAGTGTTTTTCATTCCTCAAAATTTTCTTCCTCCTATCTAATAAAGCTTAATCTTCAACTGTAAGTCATATTAATTCATGTATTTATTGCAATTTCTTTTTTCTATTTTGATGTTTTTTTTAGGTTGATTGAAAATTGATCTCTTTTTTTTTTGTCTCTTTCTTAGTTTTACTCGTATACTTTTTGGGAAAATTTCTTGTGAGTTGTGCTATATTTGATAGCACAGAACAATTAATATGTGTTAACTAATACACAACCAATATTAAAGTTTGTTAAAAGAACCAAACAGATTACTCTCTTCTTTGCCACACTTAGTATTGATTGCTCATTCTTAGGTATAAACATTTTATATGTCATTGAACCCTTCTTAGAATATTAGTATAGAGACAATTAATTCACTTCTGTTATCGTAAGTTAACTAATTTGTTATATTTCTTCGTCTCTTCTTTTTTAGGCATAATAAGAAACAAGTTTTTTTGAAACAAATAAATATTCAAAATACAATAGAACAAAAATATTTTTTATCGGCAATGAATATGCATAGTAACGAAGAGTGCTAGAGCCTAATTAATTGTCATTACATTCAATGTTGTCGTGGACTTTTTCTAGAGACATTTATAATTTTCTCTAGAGATCATTTTCCCCGTAGTGATAACTCTTCTTTTGAATAAAGTTTTTTATTTTTTTTTGCTTTTTGATAAAGAAGTAATAACTCTTTCTATTGACTTCTTTCAATTAAATTTGAGTTAAGCAACATGTGTTTTTCTTATTGATTGTTAGGAAAGTAAGGTTGTCATTATTATTATTTGTGGATATTTGTGAGTTCAAGTACTCAGAAAATTATGCTTTGAGATTTTAATATGTTATGTGTAAAAAACTTTGTTTAGAATGTCCAATTATGAATGATGTCGCCTATCGCTTGGTTGATAATTACATTATAACTATAGCAATAACCATGGTTCAATTCCAAATAAGTTGGATTAGTGATATGAAACCTAAGCAATAGTAATGACTACTCTGAGACGATGAGGAAAAATATTTATGATATTAATAATTTTAGGGTCATGAGAAAGGAGCCGAAGGTCCTCCATTTGAATTAGTTAATTATGTTCTTGTACGGACATGATGTTCCACTTTACTTGGGAGTATTGTAGTTTGAGGCTTTTTGGTCTCTTCTTTAACGTCTGATGTTATTCATTATAAATTCTTGGAATTTAGAAAAATTTCATTACTTCTGATCAACTATTTACATAGAGATTTCTTAGACATCTTTTTTATACTTAAAAGGCTTAAGTCATCGATAACCCCTTAAAGTTGTCTGCATAATTCATTTAGACACCTCAACTAAGACTCTTACCTATTAGACACTTTAATATTAATAAATATATATCTATTGAATATAAAATAACAACTAACTTTACAAATATTGTGCGTGTAATGCACACTCGTTATCTTGACAAAATTACGAATAGAACTACGACACGTGACACATAGGCCCATAATTTTAATTTTGAAAAATACAAAATATTTTTCTGCCTCTAATAATATATAAAGAATTAAATTGATAAAAAAAAATCTTTACCCCCACCCCATCTAACTTATTGCCTCTTTCTTCTTTATCTTCTTCTTTGTTGTTCCACAATTGCCATTCCTCGGCGATAACAAAAAAGAAAATGTCTAACCCCATCTCATTCCTAATTAATCCACCAAATGTTTTCCTCTTTCATTTTTTTCGTTATATGCTATTCCTCCGACGGCTATTCCAATTTTATAAATTTAATCGACCTTGATAAATGATTTTGAAATCGAAAAGGAAGAGAAATTAAAATTATATAAAAAATTTTATAGCATTTTTAATAAGTTTATGAATGGTGATAGTTGCTCAATTGGAGTAATTGAAAATAAAAATGTACAGATATTGGCCAATTTTTTAACTTCAAATGGTCCATTTTATTCTTCTTTTTGAAAATTCAACAGGTACTTTGTTTAGAGAAAATGAAAAAAAAATGAATCATAACAAAAGGCAAAGAAATTTGAAGTTTTTAAAATGGTGGGTTGAAGGGAGATGAGTGTGTGTGTTTTTATGATTTAAAAGATTTATGTTTAATTAAATTAATTTTTTTTTATATTTAGTCAATGCATGCCAAGTGTCAACAAAGTAGGTATAAATATTTTTAAAAAAATTTTAAAAAATGCATTCACGCGCTCAGCAGCAGTGAGATACACTTATTTTGCCACATCGGTGTTTTGTGTTTAATAAGCACATTTCTTGAATAATTTAGGTGTTCAATAGGTATAAAACCTAATTCAGGCGTCTAAGTGAATTATGTGGACAACTTTAAGGAACGGCACATGACTTAAGCCTACTTAAAATAACTCTATGACTCATAATTTTTAAATAAAAATAAAAATAAATTTTTTTTAACACTTTTAACATTTTAGATTCCCTTGAGATAAAATGATCTTGACAATGAAGTGTATATATCGAAAATTCGAATATTACTAAATGATCAATGTGAGCATAATAACATAGTTCAATCCTGTGCGAAGCATGAGTAATTTACCTAAATTTATGTATATAATAAAATAAAACCATATCCAACAATTTTTTAAATTTTTTTCTTATAATAATTTTGAGAAGGTGTGAAAGAAAAAAGAAAAAGAAAATATTTCATATCCTGTGATGATATGTTGTTCTATTGTGCTATCCATGAAGAGCTTGCAAATTTGGGGGAAGAATTCGATCAGAATTATCGTCAAGTTGTCATCCATGATATGCTAGGTAAGATTCGTGAAATTATGATCGATATTTTTGTAGTGAAACGGAGGGAGGAAGCATTAATTGATGAATAAAACACTTCGATCAAGTTAAATTATTTTTTTTTGGCAATAAACTTTGAATATTATCATAT